GGTGCGCTCCCCCCGCACTCCTCTTCCTCCACCAGTGGTCAGAAGCAGGTCAGAGCACCCTGAAAGCTCATCTTGCAGGCCACACATTCTAGGGTTGTCATATTTTGAAGAGCAAAAAAGAGGACACATTTACCACCTGCTACTTTTAACATCGCTACGAGGACTCTACCCATGAAAAAGAGGACACGTCCTGGAAAAAGAGGGCATATGGCAACCCTAAAATGAAAACATTGTTCCCAGGTTCTGAAATGGTTTGCTGCAAGGAGGAAACAACAACAAAACCCCAACTGTAGTTGTCATTACATGTTGTGCCAAGCTTTCAATTACTGGAATGAATCAGGCAGCAACGCAAAACAACTGTTCGCGATGACACACAGCCTATTAGATTTGGCTTAAGATAATATGCCATACAGAGGCTGCTGGACCTACCAGTGGCACACGATCCTTCTGACGCCACAAGGATTTCGCTTTGCTGCTTGCAGGCAGCCTGTCTCAAGTAGCACTCGTTCTGATAGGTGTCGCCGTTGGAGCCGCACACAGGCACAAAGTCACTGTTACACTGATGAGCAGAAAAAGACAGAATGAAACACGTTTAGGGTTGTGTTATAACCATCACCATCATCATCATCATCATCATCATCATCATCATCTATTACTTATACCCCACCCATCTGGCTGTGTTTCCCCAGCCACTCTGGGTGGCTTCCAACAGGATATTAAAAACGCAATAAAGCACCAAACATTAAAAACTTCCCTAAACAGGGCTGCCTTCAGATGTCTTCTAAAAGTCAGATAGTTGTTTATTTCCTTGACATCTGATGGGAGGGTGTTCCACAGGGAGGGTGCCACTACTGAGAAGGCCCTCTGCCTGGTTCCCTGTAACCTCACTTCTCACAATGAGGGAACCACCAGAAGGTCCTCAGCATTGGCCCTCAGTGTCTGGGCAGAACGATGGGGGTGGAGACACTCCTTCAGGTATACCGGGCCGAGGCCGTTTAGACTGAGCTTTAAAGGTAAGCACCAACACTTTGAATTGTGCTGGGAAACGTACTGGGAGCCAACGTAGGTCTTTCAGGACCAGTGTAATATGGTCTCAGCAGCCACTCCCAGTCACCAGTCTAGCTGCCGCATTCTGGATTAGTTGTAGTTTCCAGATCACCTTCAAAGGTAGCCCCATGTAGAGCACATTGCAGTAGTCCAAGCAGGAGATAACTAGAGCATACACCACTCTGGTGAGAGAGTCTGCTGGCAGGAAGGGTCTCAGCTTGCATACCAGATGGAGCTGGTAGACAGTCGCGCTGGACACAGAAATTACCTGTGCCTCCATGGACAGCTGTGAGTCCAAAATGACTCCCAGGCTGCGCACCTGGTCCTTCAGGGGCACAGTTACCCCATTCAGGAAGTCCTCTACACCAGCCCACTATGTTAATTTAATCTGTGTATCTTGTCCCTCTAATAAGCCCCAAAGTGATTTCTAGGGTTGCCATACATCCAAGGAAACCCAGACAAGTCCTCTTTTGTGGGGCCAACATACCCATCTGGAAGGATTTTTCACCTTTTAAAGGAAATGTCTTGGGTGGGTGTTTACCTCTACCCCTGTCTCAGACTGGCAGCGGCTTGGGCTGCCCTCTTTTCTTGCTTTTCAATATATGGCAACCCTAGATTTACAAGCAAGTAAAACTGAGACATCACCTTGCCAACAAAGGTCCGTATAGTTAAAGCTATGGTTTTCCCAGTAGTGATGTACTGAAGTGAGAGCTGGACCATAAAGAAGGCTGATCGCCAAAGAATTGATGCTTTTGAATTATGGTGCTGGAGGAGACTCTTGAGAGTCCCATGGAATGCAAGAAGATCAAACCTCTCCATTCTTAAGGAAATCATCCCTGAGTGCTCACTGGAAGGACAGATCCTGAAGCTGAGGCTCCAGTACTTTGGCAACCTCATGAGAAGAGAAGACTCCCTAGAAAAGACCCTGATGTTGGGAAAGATGGAGGGCACAAGCAGAAGAGGACGACAGAGGACAAGATGGTTGGATAATGTTCTCGAAGCTATCAGCATGAGTTTGACCAAACTGCGGGAGGCATTGGAAGACAGGAGTGCCTGGTGTGCTCTGGTCCATGGGGTCACAAAGAGTCGGACGCAACTAAATGACTAAACAACAACAACAAAACTGCAAGAATAAATTGGCAAAAAGCATATTAGAAACAGATCGAACAATAGATCATTGATGGCACCTAAAGAAGTGTTGGAATACTGTCGGGGAGACGGGGGCATTTTGTAGGCCCCCAGCTGGCTCCAGCCACTGGCCAGCAGCCGGGTGATCTCCAGTCTTTGGAACAGCATCAAACAGTGACACAAGCCTCAGATACCTTTAGAGACTTGGCACGCTCTAGTCAGCAGAGTGAATAACTTCTCACAATGGAAGTGACGGACAGAAACATGTGTAAGCATTATTTACAGGCGTTTATTCTGCATAGTTCAGGAACAAAGGGGAAAAAAACATGTCCGCTTCCCTAGCTGTGTCCAAGCACACAGCAGCATAGCAAAAGCAATATACAAACAGAAGTTCCCAGCAGGCTGTGCTGGAAGTAAACAGGCATGTGACACACAACAGTCATGCCTGTTCCTTTTAAGGTGGAATGGAACTATATCCTAACAAGAACCCTCAAAAATAAAAATGAGGACAAGGTTGGCACTAGGTGAGTCTCCTTGGAAAGAGGATTTCATAAATGAGGAGATACTGCAGAGAAGACCTGTTCTGCCATAGCCACAAGAGGTCCCAGAGGGTGGCAACATTTGAATGGGTCTTTTGTGCATTGGCTCTCCATTTGTGAAATGCTCTCCCCAGAGAAACTCACCTGGTGCCTTCATTACATACTTTTAGGCGGCAATTGAAAACATTTCTATTCACCAAGTTATCTGCTGATTAACATTCTATGGCTATTTAAAATGTATTTGTGAAAGGGGTTGTTAGTTTGTTTTATTACGTATTTTGTATTTTTTTCCCCCTGTTGTGAACCATCTTGGAATCTTCGGATGAATAATAAAATTAATAAATCATCATCATAGTTATCAGGTTTTATTAAAACAGACCCAATACAAACTAGAAAAGAGAATAAGGCCTGTCACAATGGTTCCTTATTGCCTGTTTGACCAATTCCAAATTGGAGAGACACACTGAAGAATGGCTAGGCAGGATCTGCTCCACATGCTGCCACAGGAAAATTACCAACATACATAGCATGGAACACACTTAAAAACTCTTCTCTGGGGCTTATATCTCAGTTTAATTAAACTTGACTTAGAACTGTGGTTTAAGATCCTGGTTTACAAATTGGCATTAATATATAGTTCTCCACTGTGGCTGTAATGACTAACTGTGTGTTAATTAAACCAGGTTGTAAATACAGAGGAAGAAGGAGGAATGACCACATAATCCCATCTCTTATTTCCAGCTGCTGAACTATAATTTGGCAAGCTGGGAACCATAGCTGTCAACGTTATCCTTGTTTTAAAGGGAAATTCCCTTATTCCAAATAGGATTCCTTGCAAGAAAAGGGAAAAGTTGACAGCTATGCTGGGAACGCAGCACCCAAATAAGGCCATTGAGTAGAACTGAGTGGAAAGAGGGTAGATAAAGGACTTGGGAACACAAATTTCCAGGCTGCAAACGGGCAGCCCTATTGAAAAAGGGCCATGTGACCCCAAATTTTGTTGTTGTTGTTGAGTCGTTTAGTCATGTCCGATTCTTCGTGACCCCATGGACCAGAGCACGCCAGCACTCCTGTCTTCCACTGCCTCCCGCAGTTTGGTCACACTCATGCTGGTAGCTTCGAGAACACTGTCCCACCATCTCGTCCTCTGTCGTCCCCTTCTCCTTGTGCCCTCCATCTTTCCCAACATCAGGGTCTTTTCCAGGGAGTCTTCTCTTCTCATGAGGTGGCCAAAGTATTGGAATCTCAGCTTCAGGATCTGTCCTTCCAGTGAGCACTCAGGGCTGATTTCCTTCAGAATGGATAGGTTTGATCTTCTTGCAGTCCATGGGACTCCTCCAACACCATAATTCAAAAGCATCAATTCTTTGGCGATCAGCCTTCTTTATGGTCCAGCTCTCACTTCCATATATCACTACTGGGAAAACCATAGCTTTAACTAGACACATCTTTGTTGGCAAGGTGATGTCTCTGCTTTTTAAGATGCTGTCTAGGTTTGCCATCACTTTTCTCCCAAGAAGCAGGCGTCTTTTAATTTCGTGGCTGCTGTCACCATCTGCAGTGATCATGGAGCCCAAGAAAGTAAAATCTCTCACTGCCCCCATTTCTTCCCCTTCTATTTGCTTAGGGTGAGCAAACCTGTCAATTTTGGTTTCTCTTGGTTTCTCATTTTTGGAATCTTTAATTCAGCTCTCCAGTTTTCCACATCAGTTTGTAAGTGTGTTCTTTTGAATCCTCGTGGAAATTCAACAGCCCTGTAGTGCAAATTACTCCTACTAAACACTTTCTTGTATGCAATTTTGCACAACAGACACATTTTTTATTTTATTTTTTTGCAGAGCAGTTTCCCCAAATATAATGCATTTTTCTATGTTAGTTCCACCAATCTACCCTAGCATATGCATAGCAAAATTCAGAGAAGTGCAACTTTGAAAGGGTGGCTGTGTTTAAGCTCACATACGGTTTCAGAAAGTGGGAACTGGGTACGTTCAGCTTTAAATGTGAACTTCTTCCCCCACGCCAACCCCAAACATACTGTAGGGAAGGATATAGAAATGGCAAGTGATTGCAACAATTGTGTGTGCAGTTGGGGACTTCCTAAAAATATTTTTACTAGGGTTGCCATACAGTGGTACCTTGGATTAAGAACTAAATTTGTTCCAGAGGTCCTTTCTTAACCTGAAACTATTCTTAACCTGAGGTACCACTTTAGCTAATGGGGTGTCCCACTGCTGCTGCCGCACAATTTCTGTTCTCATCCTGAGGTAAAGTTCTTAACCCGAGGTACTATTTCTGGGTTAGCAGAGTCTGTAACCTGAAGAGTCTGCAACCCGAGGCACCACTGTATTTCAAACAGTGAAAATCCAAACAGAAAACTTATTGAGCATGGGGGGGGGGGGCAAAGCTGTTGAGCTTTTTTGGCAAAATCGTGGGAAAAATATGCCAGTTTTGAGCTAGTTTTATGGGAAATAGGATTTTCCCGGACATTTGACCAATTTCTGCCAGGACACTACAGTGGTACCTCGGGTTACATACGCTTCAGGTTACATACGCTTCAGGTTACACACTCCGCTAACCCAGAAATAGTGCTTCAGGTTAAGAACTTTGCTTCACGATAAGAACAGAAATCGGGCTCCGGCGGCACGGCGGCAGCAGGAGGCCCCATTAGCTAAAGTGGTGCTTCAGGTTAAGAACAGTTTCAGGTTAAGAATGGACCTCTGGAACGAATTAAGTACTTAACCCGAGGTACCACTGTACTGCCAACTGCAGCATTCTGGGAAATTCTGGATGTCTGGCAACCCTAATTTCCCCCTTATATGCAGCATTGTAACTCGGTGCAGCTGACGTGACCCTGTTTCTTAGCTTCCACACAGAGCCAGATGTATTAAGTCCATTGTTATTCCTATCATAGCAAAGCCACGTGGATCTGAACAGAGCACCTGCAGTCAGTGATTAATCCACATTGTATCAGCCCACCTGAAATTCCAGCTAAGCCATAGTTCCACTGTAATCTATAAGTCTTCTCTTCCTCTGTCAGAAGAAAAGGACAGCTTCGCCCCCCACCCACTTCCACCCCTTGTTCACTTTAATAAAAATAATTCCATTTTGTAATGAAAATTAAGCAACCTACAGGGTGCAGTTATCAGAAGATAATCACACTCAGTGGCATTAGAGATACTTGGCTGTGCCCCGTACCTGATAATTATGCCAGGGATGTGATTATCTCATGATTACTGTACTCCTGATATGCCTCATTGTTTAATTAGAACAAATGTAATGATCAAGATTATTATTTACAAATGATCACCTCTGCTTAGAAACCAGTAAAAAAAAAAGTCACACTGCCAATTAGCTCTTCTGTCTTGAAATATCTCACGATATGCTAATGCACATGACACACCAGAGGAAACGGAGATCTATAAAGATGACAAACTTCAAAACATGCCTCAGCTATGGACAGTTGTTTCGTGTTGATTAACATGTTGGGTGAGATACAAAGGTTTATCTTGATCGGACATTACACACAGACACGAGGCCAGGGAAATGATGATTACTTGGCCAAACTGAAATGTCACTTTGCCCAAGTGAGGAAACATCTCCCACTTGCCAAAATGTTAATCAGACTCACCAGCGCTTCTTTGACTTTTACAATCATGCCTCCAATATTCTTTTCTCCAAACAGACCAAGTCTTTCCATGGAGACTGAAGGCTGTTTCTGCTGAGCCAGTGGTTTTCAGAAAGAGTCTATGTTGATGTGTCTGCTTAAATACCCCTGATCTAATGTGATGGCCTCCAGCTGTTGTTGGATTCCAATTTCCATCAGCCCAAACCAGGAACCAGGATGATGGGAGTTGTGGATAGCCACAGGTGTCCCATCCTTGCTTTAGAATGACCTTTGTGACCTAGTGGGGTGTAGTGGTTTGAGCCTGAACTGGGAAGACCCAAGTTCAAATCCCTATGTAGATATGAGGCTTTGTGGGGTGACCTTGGGCCAAACTCTCAGCTTAACCTACTTTACAGAATTGTTGTGAGGATAAAATTAGTAGCGGGGGAGAACACAGTGTGGTACCTATTTATCTACATGCACTGGCGTGCTTTCAAACTGCTAGGCTGGCAGGAGCTGGGACAGAGCAACGGGAGCTCATCCCGTCGTGGGGATTCGAACCGCCAACCTTCTGATCGGCAAGCCCAAGAGGCTCAGTGGTTTAGACCACAGCGCCACCTGTGTCCCACTGGGCCAATCTCTCAGCTTAGCCTATTTTACAGAGTTGTTGTGAGGATAAAATTGGGAGCAGGGTAGAACACAGTGCGCAGCCTAGAGTTGCCTCCAGGAAACGAGGGATCTATAAATGTAACAAACCAGTATGCTTTAATGCCAACCACTGAAACACTGCAAAGAATGTTATAGAGAGAATGCTCAGTTCATGTGCGGCCATAGTTGGGCATCACTACTGCTGTGTGTGAAATGCCTGGTACATGAGATCTTTCTGGGAGGGTTGGTAGCTCTTACCAAGTTTTCCCATTAAGGAGCCCCTGAGCTGCTTCCAAGAAACCCTCCCCTCCTCCAGGGCTCCAAAAAGCCTTTGAATAGTCATCTTCCATCCATCCACCCAGAAGATTTAAGGGGGCCTGTTGGTTTTCAAATTGCCTGCATGATGAATGCATTGCAAAGCTGAAGTATATCTAAAAGGAGAGGTGCCAGACTTCATACAAAGCCTGCGTGGGGGGGGGGGGGATTCTAACAGAGCTGGAGGGCAAATTGGCAGAATCTGCCAATGCAATTAACATAGCCTGTAGGGATTTGATGCCTTCAAAAGCAAAGGATCAAAATCTCAGCTGTCCCCTGGATATAAGGAGAAAGCAGCACAAACTCTCAAGAACATGCAACTGTGCATATGAAGAAGGCCGCAGGCCGATTGTTGCCTGCCACAGGCAACCTAATGCAAATTCTGCAAGAACATCTAACAAGGCAGGTGGATACCGCAAACACTCTTGTTCGAAATGCAAAGCGGCACAGGGCTTGCAGAGTGTTGTGAGTGCACCCCTCCAAGTAGGGCAGCGTCGGCCGGCTGGGCTCCCCACTGCACACCCAGGAATTGCAAGCCAGAACCTCTGGAGGGCACTAGGTTGGTGAAGCCTGCTCTATGTCTATGAACTTGTCCTCCCCCTGGAGAAGAGCAACACCTACCAGACATGTCCTTATGTGGTAGGATGCAGAATGGGAGCCAGATGTACAGCCAGCAGGGAGACCCAACATGTAAGTAGCAACAGGCCAGCATCAGCTGTACCAGAAGAATATGTTGGCGTTAGCAGGGGGACACCTTTGCCTTCCTTCATGAAACATCCACATATTGGGGATCTTTAAGGGTGGTCCCAAATGCGCTCCATTATTTGCCACCCAATTGGACAGTGTCGGAAATTAGGAAACCTTTTCAGCAATTTTCAGAAGGGCGAAGGAAAACATGGAGACACTTCCTGGGGAAGGTGCGACAGGTTAAGACAATGCCATTCCCATGGGAATTGTGGGAAATAAAAATGTCAGCCACCAACTGGCAGCTGTCAAGGCGACGTCTGCCACCATGAAAGTGACCACCATGGCGAAAAGGCATTTGCCCCCCTTTTTCATCTCCTCCTCCCCCCGGAAAACCAAGCTGAAAGCAAGCTTTCTGCTTAGCACTAAAAATGGTGCATAGAGAGGGAATCGTAAATCAATTTTCAGCTTCCAATGGCCTTGTAGATTAGAGCTAAATTATACATCACAATGAGTTCTTTCTCAGTTTTGGGGAAACTATATATTCAGCCAGGAGGAAGAATGTTAATATGTTGGCGCTTCTTTTGTGGGCAACATTCAAACACCAACATATTAACATTCTTCCCCCTAGCTGAATATAGTTTTCCAAAAACTGAGAAAGGGAGACATCGGTGCCACTTGGAGTTTGTATTTCAGACACCAAAGTGTCATGGGACAGAAGTTGATCAGATCTCTGACATTTTGTAGCCTTGGGGAATATCACCCTTCTGTTTGAGGACTAAAAGTTTATGCTGAGTTTTGGCAGGCCAGTGTTGTGATGCAGCTAGCATGACTTTTTAAAAAAGTCATTGCATTTCAAGAAAGTGAGGCAATCCTGTCTGTGTTTCATTCTCCATTCAGACACACATCCCAGCCTTTTTATTATTATTATTATTTTTACTTTCCACATTCCTGAAGGTGAAATGTTTGTTGCTCTAAAAGGCCTAATAATATATTGGTACACAAACACACACATGCAGTTATTAGTTCTGTAAATCTGGTTACATCATTATAATCAGGAATCCACGTGGGCACAGACGGTTTGGATTCACATAGATTACAAACTTTATTGGCCCATCAATAGTGGCAGGTAAGCTCTCCCACACCGCAGCCTAAATTGAATTGGCTTGGAAACAAGCTGTGCTCTTTTATTCCAAAATCAGAAATAGCTTGGCTTGTTTTCTAAGTCCCTAACTCCAGTTCCCCCCACCTTGGAAGCTAGTGGGCTTTCTGTGGGCATCTGGTTGGCCACTGTGAAAAGAAAATGCTGGGCTTTTAGGTTATAATAATAATAATAATAATAATAATATAATTTATTATTTATACCCCACCCATCTGGCTGGGTTTCCCCAGCCACTCTGGGCGACTTCCAACAGGATATTAAAAACACAATAAAACATCAAACATTTAAAAACTTCCCTAAACAGGGCTGCCTTCAGATGTCTTCTAAAAGTCTGGTAGTTGTTATTCTCTTTGACATCTGGTGGGAGGGCGTTCCGCAGGGTGGGTGCCACTACCGAGAAGGCCCTCTGCCTGGTTTACTGTAACTTGGCTTCGCGCAGCGAGGGAACCGCCAGAAAGCCCTCAGCACTGGACCTCAGTGTCTGGGCAGAACGTTGGGGGTGGAGACGCTCCTTCAGGTATACTGGACCGAGGCCATTTAGGGCTTTAAAGGTCAGCACCAACACTTTGAATTGTGCTCGGAAATGTACTGGGAGCCACCCCAACCCTCTCACTAACCTCCTGCCAATACCCTCCCTACCTGCCCTAATACTCCAACCCTCCAAGCCCACTTCCCCATTAATAATACCTATCTGATGACATGGCAAGAGCAGCAGAGGGGCTGCCTTTCACAATCCCGCTTGGATAAGGTGCAACTCCAAGAGGTGCTGGGGCCATTATTCCTGTAATCAGCCCACCAGAAAGACAAAGGAGCCAGAGATCCAATCTCCTTCCATCCTTCATCTCACCGCTGCTGCCCCCTGCATTTATAGAAATGAGGAAAGGGTGTGTGCAGACCCTCAATTGTCCCTATTTTTCAGGGACATAAGCTGTTTCAGTTTCTGATTTGATCATGGAATGCCCCACTTTTCCTTAGGACGTCCCTATTTTCATCGGAGAAACATTGGAGGGTATGGAGTTATGCAACCCCCGAGCCAGTGTGATAAATAACTATACAACCTTTAGAACATGGGTAGGCAACCTAAGGCCCGGGGGCCAGATCTGGCGCAATCGCCTTCTAAATCCGGCCCACGGACGGTCCAGGAATCAGCGTGTTTTTACATGAGTAGAATGT